GTGTGAGTGTGAGTGTGAGTGTGAGTGTGTGTGTGAGTGTGTGTGTGCCCTGCGACGGACTGCCATCCTGTGAAGGCTGTACCCTGCTTTGTGCACACTTCTTGCCAGCATAGGCTCCAGCTCCCCTTGACCTTGTATTGGATAAAGAGGTTAGAAAACGAATGGATATCATGTGAATCACTTATTTTTGGGACTAACGACCTGATTTATTAAACGTCATGTTTATTCCTTTGAACACTATGAAAACATTATCTAATACCTGCTGCACTGTGGAATTTCCTCCATTCAAAATGGCAATGCCCAGCTTCAATGTTGATGCTACCATAGGTCCCATTTCACCTGGAATGAAGAAAACACAGTAGTTTGATATATCAAGCATATCAAGCATATAGACCTCCTGGGAAAAACTAAGGTTGCTGCTGGAAGAAGTGTTAGTGGGGACAGCAGGGGGCGCTCACCCTGTGGTCTGTGTGGGTCCTAATGCCCCAGTACAGTGACAGGGACACTATACTGTAAACAGGTGCCGTCCTTCAGATGAGACGTAAAACCGAGGTCCTGACTCTCTGTGGTCATTAAAAATCCCAGGGCGTTTTTTGAAAACAGTAGGGGTGTAACCCCGACGTCCTGGCCAAATTTCCCAATGGCCCTTACCAATCACGGCCTCCTAATAATCCCCATCTATGAACTGGCTACTTTACTCTGCTCTCCCCCCCACTGATAGCTGGTGTGTGGGGAGCGTTCTGGCGCACTATGGGTGCCGTCGCATCATCAAGGTGGGGCTGCACATTGGTGATGGTGGAGGGGATCCTCATTACCTGTAAAGCGCTTTGAGTGGAGTGTCCAGAAAAGCGTTATATAAGTGTAAGTAATTATTATTATTATTATTATTATTATTATTATTATTATTGATAAATAACAGGCCATTACACAGGACATTAATTAAAGGGCACGGTTTTACTGTTATTTCCTACAGATTTAACAAACTTTCTCTGCCCTTTACTACACCGGTCCATGGGAATACAGCAAAGTGACACTTAAACCAAGTGGTTCAACTGATAAAGTAGTTCGCCCGAGGTCCAGCTGAGCTCTGTTATCACACAGTCAAGCCTGTGTACCAGCTGATTGTGACGAGGATTCCCCAAACCAACACAGTGCGTGGGATTAGTCTGTTAGTGCTCTCGAAGATTGCCTCCTGGACAGCTGATGGCATATGGAGCAGTTGGTGAGGGACCAGAGCCTACATCTGCCATACAGACAGCGTTGGAGCCACCAAGCGGCAGTACAGACAGATGGGTCACCTTTGCTGGCGCTGATCATCTGGAGAACCATCTCTGCAGCACCCCGGTCATGTAGCCTGGCCTGCTGATACAGCAGCTTCTGCTTTTCCATTTCTTTTTCCTAAATCCAAGTGCAAAAAATAATCAAAGTTATCTGTTTCGTTTTTTGTTTATCAAAGTGTTGCTTGGATTACAATTGCTCCCACAGGGCTCTGTTGCAGAATTCATGTAATATGAAGTGATGTCCAGGCTAAATGTGATATCAGACAAGAGTCTGAACTGCAGTTGCTAATGGAAAGCACTAATAAGCATTACGGTTTCTACTGCTTTTACCGGACCTCAGTCAGTATCGACAACTAGATGCATCTGAAATACACTGCAAAATCTGGTTTGAAATCTTCTGTTTTTTATAAAAAGTTAACTAGCATTTTCCCAGTTCATGAAATTCAACATATTGCATATTATACACATCACTGAATGACTTATTTCAGAATGAGGTCTGACAGTTCAGAACCTGAGGATATGCCTTTTGTCGCATAAAACAAACACATGAAAAGCTTTGCAACTGCTGCATTTCTGGTCTCATTATGTTAGAATTAGGAGGGATATTGATTCGACTACAAAGGAGACTTCCTTTATAATCTGATGGTTTTACAGTTCCTAATAAGGATATTATTCCAAATCAAGGAGTTACTTTAGAGACATTTTCATCATAAACCAAAACACAGCATAAGGAAACTGGCTGGTTTAAGTCACACAGCACAGGACTTTAGATAGAAACCACAATGTTATGTGTTTCAAATAGCAATACAGCACTAGTACAGCAGATTCCCTTGAGGATATATTTGGTTAACTACCTAGCGTATGCACTCAAATACAGAGCATCCATTTCTAGGCAAGCTGAATTTCTGAAAAAAATACCTTACTTCCGGCATTTGTATACTGTAGCTTAATACTGTATAATAACACAACACTGTGCTTACAGAACCGAGCTCTGCAGAGATCATGCAGCTTTGAAGGGTTCTGTTTCACCAGTTTTCAAGAGAAAAAGAACAGAAGGTCGTGAGTGTTTTACTGTACTGTACTGTATATCAAGTTGCATAGAGCCCCATGAAAACAGGTAGCCCGTCAAATGGCATGGTGGGTAGAAGCTCTGTTTAATGGGACATGAAACAGTAAATTAATATCATGTCCACAACACAACTGCTGAATCATGAATGGTTTTGCCCAGGAGCAGGAACGCCAGCAACAGCAGCAGCAAAAAGGCACAACCGAGGGTGAGCAGCAACAGCCTACGGTATTGCTAACTTTGCTGCCTTAAACTTTCCATCTGTATGTATGCAGGAGACATGAGAGGATGGAAGAGGTTTCAAAACATGAAGGCCTTTTTACAGAATGTGATAAAAAAATAAGAACGATGGGTCCAAACAAATGAACAATTCTTCTAACTAAAAGGGGAAAAAAAAAGAAGATGCAACCAACACAGACACTAAGTGTTGTTACCAGAGAGTTTTCCACGTTGCTGGTAAATTTGTTGCTTAAATCTTTGATAATATCGTGCTGCGGAAACAAAATTTAATCATTTCATACTACAATAGAAAGCTGCTACTCTTAACTAACCAGAGATAAAATACGGTAGGCCGAAATAAAAAAAGATGGAAGCTTTATGAACAGCCTTGCTTTCCTCAGCCATGCTACGGCTCTGTGATCTGCCTTCACGTCTCAACCTCTTCCTCACTGTAACTATGCCGTAAAGAGAATAACAGAAAGAACATGAAACAAGGCAGTGCGATTAATTGTTATTCAACAAATTAAAGCTGCACTAAATGACTTTACAACTTGATCGCATATCTTTAAAAAAATAAATAAACATCCTTTATCTGTTTGCTGGTCATCTCATGTAAAGCGTACACTTGCTAGTTTTAGAACTCAAATTTAACATGAACAAAATGAAATTTGTATTTAAACAAAATAAACACAGATATACTGTATCTTATTGAAGATAAGACTTTCATACTACAATTGGAGGGACTCCTAAACTTGAACATCTGAACTCTGTTTACATAGTGCAGCCTCAATTCTCAATAATGGTAAGGCTGATACAACAGGACTACCAGCAGAGCATGCAGCTATTGTCAGATTACATTTTCTGCACTTAACAGATCAGAATAAGTGATAACTGTTTAGAGTGACCCACAAATTGTTATTGTTATTATTCTACTCAATATTTCAACAACATCAACTTACAAAGGGGTTTCTTTGTAAATTGTATATACTGTATTGCAAATCCATGATTCTTTTTCTATATTCCTAGCCTACAATAATTCTTCAACATCACATCAGATCATATACCAGTTACTCTTACTATACAACATAGGTGCACAACACCAATGGACCAGAGGACCAGAAGTCATAATGATTCACTTTAAATCAACAGCTAAAGACCTTTGCAAACTGTTAAACTTGTCCAACACACCTAATATATAGTTCAATTAGATCTTTAAGACCTAAGGAAGAATGAAAATCTGAAGACACTGTGGCCCAGTAGGACTGGAGTTGTGCACTATTACTATAAAAACCAAAGGGCCTTTTATTTTTATACTGATGGCTGTGTAGTTTAAAACTGAGCAGTTTTGAAAATATTGCTTACTGCTTTACTTGCTCACAATGTGAACACTGGACATTTATCGGTGTTTAATAAACAGATGCAACCAAAATGTAATCTGATCACAATAATGAAATAGACAGTTAATACCATTTGATATGTAACTGTATGTAATGTATCAGATGTATTAAAATGTATATATTCTTATCATATATGGTGTAATAATGAATTAAATACTTTATACAGTAGAATGTAGGATTACCAACATGTTCTCTAAAAATACTGATTTAATTGTGCACTGGAACACTGCTTTGAGAGAAACTTCTGTGATACAACAACAGCTGGAGAAGAGATCTGTGGCAAATTTATTTTGAAAGGCGGTAATTAATGTTTCCATAAAACACTACACAAGGAAGGTAAAGGACAAACATTTTCGTCTCTCCTCAAACCTCCTCTCTAAACGTGAGCGTGAACTCTAGGTTAACTCCATTAGCCTTCCAGAGCCAGGTGATAATCTGGTAATTAATCATCTGTGAGAAAGGGGATATTCCTTTTAGCCATGCAGAAATCAGCAGTGACACACCTCTTGGCTCACATGCTGAGCAGGACAGCCATTAAAATTCCAGATTGAACAGGGTCCACGACGTTTACCCTTTGAGTGGAGTTTATTCATCAGTGTTACAGGGACAAACGGTATGACGCACATACTTCTACAATTATGCATGATACCAATGTGTGTTTTCTCAAGATGGCAATGAAGGAGGGGCCGTGAAAGATGAAAGGAAGGGAGAAGGGGTTTTCAATGAACACATTTCATTATCAGAGTTGACTCACAGCACACAAGGTCCAGGGCATGCCAGCACTGTGCCATGTCAAGCTGCAGTTCAGCCATGGGCAAATAAATCGGAAAATCCCCAAATCCCCCAAAAAAGAGAAAGGGAAAGATATCACTTACTTCAAAGCTCTTCACCTCTTCTCCATCCTCATCTTCCTCATCATGGCAACTCTGGCGATATCAGCCATGGACAAAATGAGTAAGTAAAAAAAGGCACAAGTTGTGAGTGTAAGACATATTTCGTTTTTTTTTTTATTCTCTGTTGTTATTTAGGTTTGCTCTTACTGTGGTACTGTAATTTGTTTAGTGTGAGAGAAGCTGTGTGTAATCTCTGAAGTGTGGTGTGGTCGGTGGAGGAGAGAAGGCAAGGCTCACGCTGGGTCTGTTATTCTTCATTTTTCTGCTAGTTTTTTTAAAGTAGCAGTGTATCCAGTTTGGACTCCTGAGAAAGGGCATATGAAGTAATGCTCTGAATAATTATAATCAATAAAGTTTGATAATCAGCCAGTGAAAGTTCTGTTTTCCTTCCTTCTATTTCCTTCACAATGCCTAAAACGAACCCAGGAGTTTACATATGTTTGGTCGTTGTTTTTACAGGCTGTGAAAATGTTACTCTCATAGTTGAAACATCTGACTGTTTAAATCAATCAGTAAGGTATTACTGTACTGCATATGCATCTTTTCCAAAGTTTAAGACTACATTTTATTTGAAATGGGGGTACCTTTGCCATAATGTCAGCATAAGCCATATACAGGAAGTCTTCCTCCAGCTTACTGTTTGTAAAAGAAAAAACATTGTATAATATAAGAATACATGCAAGTGCTTATACTGTATTAAAACTAAATACTGCCCTTTGAGACTTTAACCTAATGCAGAGTTTTAAGAATTAACCCTGTAATACTGTTAATTCTGTTAACACAGCAGTACCTGTATGACTCCTTATGAACAGCCTGAATTAACCTTGAGCAAAAACTACAGGCTACAGGAAAAAAAACGCTCTACAGTTTTAGCACATTACACAGTGTGCCATATTCAGGTCATTCTAACTTTCATACGGATCTTCCCTAATTAGTAACATCTGTGATAAAATGAAAAAAGGGGATTTTGTTTTAAAAATTGTGAATATTTTAAGCTGTAGCAGTGTATCCAGTTTGGACTCCTGAGAAAGGGCATATGAAGTAATGCTCTGAATAAATATAATCAATTTCCTTCTAACTGCCCCTGCTGTGATCCTCTTACACACTCTGCCCTGACTCCAAACCCACCACTTCTCTGTCAGCGCAGTCCTACTGAAAAGTAAGATGAGCTGATGCAGAGGATCAATTCGTTTTGTGCCTTCATCTTCCTCGGGGGGATCTTCTCTTCCTGGTTTCTGAAATTTAAATACAACATCACCCCCACACTGAATATACAACATTCTCTTCTGCATCTAATAACCTCCCCTATGCCTATGGCAGCTACATTTAACAAGCCTTTTATAAAATCTAAGATTGTCACTTTCAATTGTTTTAGCTATTTACCAAATGGTGGCTTGCAGGGTTAGCATGCACAATACACTCAGCCTGAATAACACAATATAATGCTGTTCTGAAACCTTTAACTGCACAGTCATTTGAATTTTATCACAGGAAAATATTTCTACGTTATGGATGTTACAGTCCTTTCACATCAAATCTATGTGCTGAAGTCTTCAGCTGTATAATTGACTACTTCTGAACGCCTGCCGTAAAAGCAATGATAGTACTTACAGCCAAATCCTCAATTAACTTATCTTCAAAATAATGCTCCTCTGTTTCAATCCAAGACTTTTCATAACCTTGCAGAAAGAGGTTGACAGCCCTATGCCTAAGAGGTAAAAAAACAGAAGAATATCAGCTACATCTATCTTCCTCTTTTTCCGGTTCTTACTGTAGAAAACTATGGCATTCGGCAGGCTTTGGCACTTACCTTGGAAGATTATATAAAGGTGCCATTCTAAAACAAGCCACCACTGCCCTTTTCCTTTGCTTAGAAAGTAGCTTGTGCCACACAGCCTTCTTACTTCTCTGTGGATGTTCAACCTGTGGAATACGTTATTCTCTTAGGACGTTCTAAAACATGTTTCCCATAAAAGGTGAGGCAAAGATAACCTCTCTTTACGTTTCTGTTAATGCTGGGGTCTCACAAAGAGATGTTAGCTCTGCGGTATTTTCCGAGAAGGCGAATTCTACAGAAGCACACGCTTCCTCAACACTTCAAACCTTTTGGGCGCCTACCTGCTCCAGGTGAAACAGCACGTGTGCAATGTCAAGGACGCGTTCCACTGTTTTTTCTGGATCAGATGTGTCTTCAGTTCTATTAGGCAGGTCTTTATATAAAGCCATCTGCCACCTGATGGCAGGATCCTCCAGCTAGCACACAGAAAACAAGTCACTCAGAGCCAAGCAGACAAACCCATGTGAGAAAAGTGCATACACAATTGTGCAATGAGTATTGTCAATATACTGTAATTAATTGTAAATTACATGATTCACAAATCAAATCTTTTTCTATTACAGCATTTAAAAGCTGCAATTAAAACTATATTTTTTGTAAAAAGGATCCCATCTTCATTTAATTTCTTTCAAACTAAATTGTGCTTCCTGCTGTTGGTTATCTTATCACATTAGTCAGGTGTGTTCAAGCACACACTTTCATGCTACATGTGAGCTTTCTCTCTCCTAGTACAGCACACTAAAAACTTTGTGGTCTGCTCCTTCTTTACACTACACTCCCATTATCGGGACAGGAGTCCCAACAATGTCACTCCAAAGAATATACAGTATAATAATCTAATCATTTTAATTTGGGAGGAAAATAAGAATAGCAATGATTACTCACAGCTCTTGGTGTGGCATTAAAACAATATCAACTTAATCAGACTTCATAAACAGCAATGTATTGTACATTACCTTATACTCTATACAGTAAAGCTAACAATTTGAGAACATTGGAAGATTTTTCTAATCACACAGCTATAAAATATAAAATACACATGATGAGTGAGTACCCACCAACATTTTGCTACACCCAAATATGCTCTGCATTGCTAGCTGCCCATCTTTCAGGCCTTTCTTTATCTTGGAAACTGCAGTCTCTGCTGGCCTTGTCTGAGTCTTAGAGTGCTTCACCATTGACACATAGTCCACCGAAGAGGACTTTTTAATGGCAGACAGAGGTGTTTTTTGAACCCTGTGTGTGGTGTCGAGGGTAGCCGAACGCTTTCGCAAAGGCAGCCTTTTGTAGCCAGGCAGCTCAGAGCTGGCAAGCTTGGGCTGTCTGCTCTTCATCCATTTCATCACTATGATAAGCTTCTTCACCAGTTTCTTGAAATGAAATACTCGATACTGATACAGGCAACATGCAGACATGCACAGGAGAGAGAAAAAGAGAAACAGGCCAGGTGAAATGAAGAGAAACACACAGACAAGAGTGACAGAAAAAAATGGATGGCCAGACTGACAAGTTTTTTTCACATGTTGAAATTTAAGGCTTCATCTTCTATGAGTGTGAATAGATATCTGAAGTTTTTATTCATTTTTTATTCACTCATACTCATGGAAAAAAAAAAAACATTACTATTTCAGAACGCTAGTTCTGAAAGAGGGCACTGTTTAAAAAAGATGACAAGATACCCAAATGTCAACATGGAGGAAAAAAACATTTTTCAAAATTTCTCCCATTTTGTACACTTTAAGATACAAAATGGCAAAATGATCTTGTGTTTGCATGCTTTTGAGGTTATTGAAACACATCCAGAATGCGTTAGCTATTAATAAACTGAAAGACAATGAAAGGAGGTACAGGTTAGACATTTGTACTCCACTACCTTAACCTACCTTTCCCTGAAGATGAAGATTATTCCGAATAATGTCCCTGACTTCATCTTCTGTATCTTTCTGTTTATGAGGATGAAATATAGTCAGAAAACAGCTGTTTTAAGAAGTCACAACAACCTGCTGTTTGCTCACATAGAGTGGGCTCCATGATGAGACTAAAGCTGCTTTTTCTAAAAACAAGCTCGGTTTTGCTCAATTTCTGGAGCATGAATGATACTTTTGAGCTATGGCTACATACATTATTCATTACCGTGTGCATGCTGCTTACTTTTTGATGCTATTTAACAAAACGGCTGTTAAAAAGTAGAAACACATGGTACGGGACCCTATGTCTTCTGTTTTATTCCAATTATCAATTACCTCATTGCAGTAATCATTCGCTTAATTAAACCTTTGTTTAATTTGTTTTTTCCATCTCTTAAAATACAGCATGTTAGCTTGACAAAAATAACAATGACAATTTCTGAGATATGATTATTATTCTGTGCATAGCACACAGGTAAGCAGGGGACTGGGAAGCCCTGATCTATAACATCCATAAACGCGAAGGCGCCGCAGGCAGATACATACTAGACTGAACCTGTTCTTGGCCAGTGCAATGAGCTCTTGGTCACCGGGAGCACAGATATTTAATCCAACTGGGAGTAATCTCTTCAGCGCAGCAACGATGAGAGAGGTCTGCAGGGAGTAGCGGTCTCCTTTCCGCTTCAGCTTCTTTCTCTCCTGGTCTGAAACTGCCCCCTGTTTAACAGCACAGAAATATTTGTATGCCAAGAAACGCATTGCACAATTTCTTTCTTTTTTTCATGTATTAGTATAGGGTGGAAATGTGGCCATATCTTCTCTATTATGGTTAATTTTATACAAAAAGTAATATGTTTTTTACATTTTAGGCATCCTTGTAAGTAATGTCCACACATGTAATGCGTGACCACAATGGAGAGAAAAACCAAACCTTCTCTAAATATTTCAAACGAATACTGTATCTATCGTACTGTATATACCATGTGAGTGTTTAGGTCTTGAAAACCTTTAAGAAAACCTTTGAAAAATAAATGACACAAACAGTCTGTTCGACAAATGACTTTCCTTAGAAGATGCAGAACTCCTCACCTTGGACATTTTGGATTTGGTGTCAGTGATCAAAAAAGACATGTTGTTGATTTCATTCTGAACCACAAAGTTCTGCTCTTCCCTTTTGAAATTCTGGATTGAAAAACAAAATCATTGTTACTCAATTTTAAATGAAATTAAAATGTAGTCATCATAAACAAATACAACCATGGACACAGCACTTGAAGAGTTTGTTCTCAGTTACAAAGAGGATCAGCTGTTCAGGAACTAGCTTACATGAGACTTTGCCCAGAATATGAACACTTCTGCCACCATGCGAAATAATTCTTCGGCCTCTGCACTAGGTTCTTTCAGCCATTTTGCCCTACAAAAATGAAGACAAGAGACTTTAACTTAATGGGAATAAATTACAAGATATAAAACCCCCACACACACTTCTAGACAAGGACATTTTCAATTCCTTTTTTTTAACAAACAGGCTCCACGTCACTGTAGCCTGAACATGAAGTCCTCACCTATTATAGTCCACAAATCTGATGAGGAGAGGGTAAAAGGCGTACAGGTCCCGGACGAGGATGGTGAATTCATCCAGGATGAGAAGCTCTGCTTCTGACATGTCACCCCTGCCCTCTGTCTTCATGTGCTCCTCATCCAGCAGCACTGTGGCCGCCTTCTTCTTCAGCTTCTCCATCAGGGGCAAGAAGTGTGTCTTCAGCAGCTGGGCCTTGGCTTTACTGATGATGGGCTGAGAAAATACTGAGAGGCACACAGGGAATTCAGAACTGAAGCACAGACTCAATGGCTTGTCTGTGCTGCAGTATATCCTCTTCTACTGCAGCTATGCTGTAGCCTGTTCTAGGACTAGTGGAATATTGGATTGTCCATTTCTCTTCTATATCTACAATTATCAGGTAATTGAAATGTGGGCTGCAGACAAATCCTGTAATTAAATGGATTGGAAGTTACAGTATCTGACCACCCCTGTTATTCTCAGAAATGGTCTATTGCATGAACTTTAACAGACCACAAAGTACTGTACATCAAAACACTAAAGGAAACTGTAACCGTGAACAGTACACATTTATTGTCATAATTTGCAGTTTATCTGGAGTGTGCTCATATCGATATGCAAAGGGTCATATTCTTTAAACAGCATTATCTTAAATGTTATGGAATTGCAATCATCATTTGGAATACAGAAACAGGAAAACAGGACAAAGCAATGAAAGAAAAACAAAATCCAACACCTGCCAGTCTCTTCATCCAGGCCCCCTCATCAATACCCAGGTTGTTGTAAATGATCCTCAGAATGTTGCCCAGCAGGGTGTTCATGTGCTCCGAGGTCAGGGAGGTGCAGCACATGTCTGCCTTCTCAGGGTTGTTTTCAGGCCCGTGGTCCCACCAGTGAGACATGTAGCTACACAACATGGGCAGAAGCACCTCCATCACATGGGGCATCTGGGTGTACCGCATCCCTGACTCCGCTAGCTCCATGATCTCCTCCAGAGATTTCTCCAGAGACGGGATGTTAGGACAAACCTCTTCAACACGGGCTGGCAAATCTAGAGCTTTAATAAGAAAAAAAAACACAAGGTTTCCTTTAAAATTTAAAGAATGCTCAGAAAAACGCCTGGCGCGCTTTATCTACATTGCTGAGATACGAAGGAAGAAAAAAATGGGCATTTTGATGAAAAAAGAAAACCATGATTTCACATGCCACTGCGCATTTTGAACGCTAACTAATCATCCCTGGGAGCGTGTCATTTTTCAACGTAGCGTTTCATCGGCATCTGGCTATGGTTATTATCCTTACAGCTGTCTTGTAAATTGCTGGCATCAGTTATCAGAAACAAAGCTCAGAGTATCATCAGAGTTACATCTCTCGGGCCAAACTGGGCATGAGTACTGTAATTTCTGCTTTATGAAACTCTTTTCTCTCTCATGACATGAAGACTGACTCACTGCTGAATGGCCCTTACCTGCCCTTTCTCTTGACCCTTTGGTATTGTAAATGGAGTAGGTGTTATATTTGTTGAAGTGCGGCTCCAGAAATGCTACAGGAAAAGCTCCAGAAAAGGCAGCAAGACATTCTCCAAGTGCCGGCCTCTGCCTAAAGAGAAAACACTCATTCAGCTTTATTTTATTAAGCACTGAGAAGCATGGATGATTTACAGTAAATCATGCTAAGTTAATTCAAAATCACTGACTCATGTCAATTCATCTTGGATTTTTTTGTTCCAAGATGAATTTTGGCTTATTTTGAACTAAAGGTGAAACACGAAACAGCTTCCAGTTGTAGCTTGTGAGGCGAACTACAGTACATTAGCATGCCTACAAAACATACCTCTCCACATAAATGCTTTTGCTTGTCCCAAGAGCATACAGACTGTTGAGTATCCTGTAGCATGAAACCTGGACATCATCCACTGCAAAGAACAGAACAGATGCACTTTGCATTAACAACACCAACACAGGTTTCATACTCTATGTTTAAATATTTCAACTATTATGATACAGTTTGAAGCAGTCCTTCACTTGCTCAATGACATTATTATGTTTTTGAAGAAAATAAGACAAAAACAGAAAAAGGGAGTTGTTGATACACCTACATATGAGGTCTTCGCCAAACAGGTTCTGCCCGACGTGCTCGAAGAGCGAGGAGAGGACGGGCAGCAGGGCCACGGTGGTGTAGTTGATGATCTGGGTGACGCTCCTGGGCTGGGCTCTGGTGTGAGTGAACTGACCCAGCTTCAGGTTCTCCATCGTCCTCTCCAGGTCCTCCGCCGCGTTGTCAAAGAAGGCCCGCAAGGCCGCCTTCACCGAGTCCAGGCCGGTCTTCATCACGGTCCTGAAATCAACATGAACGCCACAGTTCTTCCCCGTCGGCAAGCAGCTGCGCCCAGAGGCAAGAATCACACCCCAGAAAACTGTTTCTATTTCTCAGCTTGTGATACAGCCCCATTGTCATCTTCTTAATAGAGCAGCTAAATTTTGAAATTATACTGTATACAATATTACAGTGTATGCATCTGCATAATATTTTACTCCCGGTGGCATTTTTATAATTTACAGAACAAGAAATGCCTTGGCAACAAGGTTTATTGTTCTCCTACAGCTTTAACACAGAGCTGTCACAGACTAATACTGTAAGAAAAACAGTAAGGCAGAGTACCTGGCATCCAGAGTTTGGCCCAATATGTGAAGACAGTTCACAATCGATGTTGCATCATTTCCTAAAATCATATAAAAGAGTTAACCTGTTGATCAAAACAGGAAAATAACTGATCTAAACCTTAAGTTAATGTCAATAACATTCACACTCCAATGGTGGCTTCTGTACTGTATGTGTACTCAAGTAATCAAAGACGAGCTGCATGCAGTGCTGCAAGATCCAACTTTGTATCCGACAAACTACTGTCCTGGTAAACATTTTACTCCACAGTAGCATAAAAAATCTGCCACATCTTCAGAAAACTTCTTAGCATAAAAAATAACCATAAAATGAAAGCCTTGGTGTCTATCCAGAATCTTGTAACTCCTGTAAATTTTAACTACACTCTAATAATGTGAAAGAGCAATGCAGTTTGCAAAGTTTTCTAAAACATTTGTGTGGAAAGTCTCTGACTTTTACACAGGTGCATACTGGCTGAGTATATCAGCCAGCTTTATTTAGGTATTTTTAATGAAAATGAAAAAAAAACAATACACTAAAATGTGCTTTTCAATTATTAACTGAAATGAAAACTTAAGTCCTGATTCAGCAAAGCCCAATGACTTCTCATTATATACTTTACACTTTTATTGTCACTACCATACTATGGTAAGTGTAGGTTATATTCTCAAACACTAAGAACTGAGTAGTGTTTCAATTATGCTGCCCAAACCTTAACAGAAGGAACACAATGCAAAGAAATGACAGACTGATAGCAGAAAAGCATTTAATCCTTCAAAGAACTGCTCTGTTTTCACAACTTAAAGAGAGAAACCACTACTCATTAAGAAATCTTCAGATTACAGTTTCCTCTTGAGATGCACTGACATCTCACTGAGGTCTTTCTGGTTGGATCTTTCTTTTTTATGTCACCCATGTCCACAATATAAATGTCAAAAGGCTTAGAAAACTTTGCAATGTGACATGCTTCATCTACCACCAGTAACATGACTTTCTATAGCAACACTTTAACTCCTAAGCTCGCTAAATCAAGGCCTTGCAGCCCCACAGACTGAAGTTTCTACATGGGTACATGCTGGCAAACCATGCAAACAAGGCCTTGGAAAGACATGACAACAGGAAGGGAAAGAACAACTCCGGGAACAAACAGTAATGAGTCTAAACCAAGGGGGCCACACTTCATATCCACACTGTCCTTACCAAACAGGGATATCCTATGCCTGACAAGAACTCCAAGTTTGCAGAACAGGCTGAAGACAAGAGAAGAAAAAAGAGAAACAGAGAAAGGGGGAAAAAACTAAAACAGCTGAAATGTGAGCAAAACAAGTGATATGATATAACACAAGAAGGTGCTAACATTAAAAGAAATACATAACAGTTCTGCAGAAACTGGGTTAGAAAGAGGTGAAACTTGTAGGGCACTGTATGGTTAAGCTGAGGACCAAGCTGGGTAAGTAGTATCATATAATTCCCCGCTTAGCTATACTACTGTAACTATAGAATTAGAAGTACACATAGAAGACGCTTGAACTTATATGATATTAAAGTTCTAAATATATATAAGAACATGACAATGAATATGCTCAGCTGTTAGAACAGAATGTTTAAATATTGTGTGGAAATTCGTAATGAAGAGATTCATTAATTCAAACAGGAAGGCCAGTCAAACATGTATTGCACTACAGATATTTTCAAAGGAAAAGACCTCAAGACATTTTGAAAAAGTTTAAAAAATGTTTAAAAACATCACAAATAATTAAACGTCATATGTCTTCCTCATGGTCACATAAAGTAAGAGGGAAAAAGCGTACTCCTACTTGACATTCTTATAAACCAAAATCTCCACTTTACAACATGCATACTATACAGTATATAATTTATATACAGTATGTCACGGTATCAATGCCCGTGTGGATACTTTTCCTCAAAAAATGACCAATCTTGTGATTGTGTGCTGCGTGAGTTTCACAAATGGTTATTTCCTTTCCCTCCATCTACAGTGGCGGTTTTCCCTCCCCGCGCATCTGTCCTGAGCTGGGAGTGTAGCTCGCGCAGTTACCTGGTGACCATCTCTTTCTCCTTGTTGGAGGCATGTCCTCCGCTGCTGAGGGGCCGGTTGGCTGTGGACAAGAAGTACAGCCGGTGGTTCTTGAAGTACTGGTCAACCAAAGGAAGGACTACCTGTAGTGCAAGCCAGAAAAACGTACTGTACCGGCGAGGTAAACGCACTTAAACTCAACACACAGGTACTGTGCACATCAAACGCCCACGTCTATAATTTCTGACAAGGCTTCACATTTCTTTAAATGGATGTTGTTGCAAGGTAGCAATTTTAATTGCATTTTGATTAAAACTCCTATTTGGGAGACCCAAAAGTGTGGACAAAAGAAATAAGAATCAACTGTATACTTTTTATTTTTGCATCGATAAAAATTATTAAGTGGAAATAATTGGTTTAGCCACTGTTATTCAGAATGGCATTATTTGAAAATAAGCCTTTCACCTTCATTTTTGTAATTCAGTTAAGACACAACAGGGATTTACTCAAATTTACTATTGGTAGATGTGTATGATTTACTAAAGGTATTTAATCGATAAAAAACATACCATCGAAGCCAGCTCAGATAACCCTTTAACTTCATTAAAACACAACAAACAGATTTGGTACAGCAAACAGTGGTACAGTGAACCCTTATGTGCTAGGCTTTATTCTTTCTGATATTAATCTTTCAGCTGAAAGTACCGATTTCAAAAGTATAAACCACACAAGCTGAAATAAACACAGCAAAATAAGAATAGGAGAGTCAGACCTTCCCAAAAAACTTCATTTCTTGCTCATATGGAACCTTTTCTGCTTTAGCCCGTGTGCCCATATCTAGAGAAAGGAAAATCTGTACATTAAAGCAGATATGAAGTTGACTCGAAATACAGCAGTGAAGATTAAAAATAACAAAGGCATTCTGATACTAAAGCCTAGAATATCCAAACAATGCAGCAAAGCAGTTACTATCATATAATGACTAGTTTAGCATAAAGTTCTGTACAAGACGTCTGTGTATGGGTTGGCACAGTGGTCAGCATTGCCCCTTGCAGTGCTGGGGCCCTGGGTTCAGTTCCAGACCTGGGGTGCTACAGTATCTGCCCAGAGCTGGCATGTTCTCCCCGTGCTCATGTGGGTTTCCTCCAGGTGCCCATGTTTTCTCCCGCAGTCCAAAGACATACAGTACATGCACTGTACTGGTAGGTTTACTGGTCTCTGGGAAAACTGACCCTGGTGTGAGTGTGGACATGTTTCTGTCTGTGTGTCCCAGGCTCTGGCTGGCCCGCGACCATGAATTAGAAGAAGCAGTTCGAAAATGGCTGAATGGATGGATTTCTCTCTATGACGAGACCAGCTCCTTACCAAACTCAAGCATGTGCTCATGAGCGTCATCTACATATCTGATGAGCTGCTGCAGGAAGCTGTACGCAAACCTTTTCTCAATGGAAGGGGTATCTAACTCGAGTTCCTTCACGCCCCTATGAAGAGAACATCAGAAAAAATCTGATACAGGAAACATTGGCTTCCACAGTACAGTACTGTACACTTTCACAATTCTTAACAGATTCACAGCATAAATTACTGTTTCTGTAAGGGGAGGTGGTGAGGACATCAATGGCACAAGCTGCTCTCCTGAACACAGTTCATGGCATACTGTACTTACAAGTCATATTAATCTTTAAATGGACTCTAAATAATTGTGTTTAAGACACAAAACACTTGCTTTAATATCCCTGTGTTATATAGATGTATTGGCTTGTTTCCTGCCTTGGTCGTGAAGACTCACCTTGAGACTGTGTATCCGTTTATCTGAAAGAACTTGAGGATGTCTTGTGCTTTTTCTCTATCTTTGGATTTTTCTTTGGCTGTTAAAGTATCATAGGGTACCAGCAAAGGATGGCTCCCTCCTCCTAATACACAATAAAAAGCATCAGTAGAACAGGGAGAATAATAACACTTTGAATAGTTTAATAAAAAGTCTATACAGGGACTTAGCAAAGTGTTTAGCTATTAGTTTGGATCTTAACATCTCACACATTGCAGCTGCCTTAAAAACGATTCGCAGCACTATAGTGACACCTGCTGGTAAGAAATTACCTAGATAAAAAATGCTACATTGTCAAAAGTTCCCATTTGATTTACCATTAATTTCTTTACACCACACCCTTAAGGTATGTATTATCTAATTGCACAGCTCATGTTTGCCTCTAAGTACTAGTTTTTATTTTAGGATTACTTTTAACATGGACTCTGCAGTCTGCTAGAAAACAACCACTCTAATGTTACTTTGAAATACAAAACTAAGTTATAACAGATACATTTTTAAAAAGCCCAACAGAATAAAGGGGAAATTAAAACATTTAGAGAAGAAAGCCAGTTTAATGGTTTGTGTTTATAAAACAGAATATTCAGAATATATAGCCTCAAAATAACCATTATGAGTGCAAAAATATTAATGCCAGTTTCAACACATTGCAATTTAAAATCATCATCTTAGATCTAGTTTCAGAAAAAAAGTATCATTTTAATTTGACTTTGAATTCAATCCAAGAATTATGAGCAATTAATTAATGGAGCTTTTATAAACACAAACTACGTTTAAACCAAACCACTAACCTAAGTGCCACCAAAAAGGTTAAAGCAGTTTGAGCGAGTGCTGATGCCTACCCCAGCTACAAGCGTGTGGGCCTCAGAGTTATGCAAACAAATACTGTGAACTACAAAAGCAGGTTTACCTTCATCAGTAAACAATAAATTCCTGCCTATGAGATGTGCACATTAAATACAAAAGATAGAAAAAAAGGTGTTGAAATAAATGTTTAATTGACAGTTTTAAACAGAAGCTGCAACAAGTTTAAGTGAGAGGACGGTATCTTTAGGGAAACGTTTGATCAGGAAAACAAAATGGAACCCACAATAAGGATTAGAAATCATAGTATAGTATTATATACTATAGTATTCATAGACTAACCAACTGTATTTCAATCTCTACAAAATGAAAAGATGGCAACTACATTTTAAATTCTCGATGCTCACCTTAAAATGGTATCTGTATTTTATGCAGCAGTGGCAGAAATCATAAACCATGTCCTCCTCTATGAAAGTCTTACAAAAATGCATTCAAATATTTAACCCATTCTGTTCACAAATGTGTGTTCATGCAGTATGAAGGTTTTACACAGCATGGCTGTCTGTTATTAATGTTTAATATAATGTACTGTACAGTATGTATACTTTCTTTTTACTTGAGATCCAATTAAAACCAGTTCTACCTTTGGCTTCCAGCTCTAGTTTTTTCTTCTTGGCCCAAATATTGTGATAGTTCTCTGCAAGCAGCTCTGCCATTGACTGAAAAAAGCATGTATACACATATATTTAGTTTCTGTACTGCCATTTTAACTAAGATTAATTGAACATCAGACCAGTTCTTACTGCTTTTACACCTACAAATTAATTGGCTAAAATAAATAGAAAAATACACAATCATACAAAAAAATATATTTTTCCCCAATAACAGTGACATTTTTAGTTAAAATCAAATATAAGTAGATGTATGTTGTTAAATATCAGTTTAAAAAAATGAAAAAGCTGACTATCACTAGCAACTTTGCCTTGGGACGTTAAAGGCAATTACTTCACCTGCAACATGACTTACATGCAGGTCTCTGGACAACGTCACGTTGCTCATGTCAATAGGCCGGGGACTGTAACCATGTGTGGTGTCGATGGAGATCTGAACGAGAAACACAAACTTTTTGCCAACTGTGCAAATAAACAACTGCATAAATGCTCGGATGCAGCACATGATGTATTTATAATATAGTTCAAGGTCAGCAAAGTCTGCTTCCAGTATTAAAGTAACCCAATGATTTAAATGTGTCTAAATAAATTGTGAACAAACACCTCAGTTTGTTTTTCTACCAGGATTTTCACACTCACCATGAATTATCCTTGTCAGCAAGTGTAACACAGTGCGAGTTATACAGTAACTAATATACTCTCCATCAAAAAGAAAACATGCTGTACATTTACACCACAAATATTTTAGCACTGTTGAAATATAGACTGCATACCACTAAATAAGTAACAGTACCTACAATAACTGGGGCGGAACATTTTCAGAAATCACAAATCGCTCAGTTGTGTCTAATGTGTAGCATGTGCCATTGATGTTACTTGAGCCTTTGATTTTAACTTTCAGTTTTTGAATTCATGTAAAATCTGCTTAGTTGTACAACTGCACTGTCGCTGCTTTCAAAAGCAAAGAATACTCAGATCCTAGGATTAGGTTTACTGGCAGGTTCCTACATTTCTCGTGTCGCAAAGCTTTTCAATGTGCACAGAGCATCTGTTTATCTTCTATTTAAAGTATACTCATATAGTTTATATTCATCTTTAAAAACACTGGCAACTGGGATCACAAGTGCATGTCTTTGCCTGTTCACATTAACTACCGAAGTGAGGATTGCAGGAACACGCCCTTATCGTTTAAGTGGTGGAGCTACAGTAGCTCGTTCTGAGTCTCTTCTCTACATGACGGGAATCTATGCATGTCAATCTGCTCAGTGCTCCTGTTGTACTCCCAGGAACAAGTTTAACTTCAGTGTTTGAAATACTACTCTTCCTGGAATCAGATTCAATACACTAATATGATTTTCTATTGAAAAAAAAATCAAGAATTAAAACTCAGGGGGACATTCCTGATCAGTAGTCTTCAAAACCAAACTCAAACACTCGCAGATCCTGAGCAGGAGATCTTCAAAGCCATGAAACCAGTCTCTAAGCGAAACATCTGAACTCTTGGACATTGACCAAACTGATTCAAGGTGTGGACGTACAGTATCTGGTATTCAGATT